CTTTAGGAAGTGGGAACTTGAGAGAGGCCGTAAGGTTACCTCCTGGTGAAGATATAAATGAGTGGCTTGCCGTCAACAGTACTCTCTCTCTCTCTCTCTCGCTCTCTCTCTTTCTCTCTAGTACACAAACATACGAAAAAGCACGATTTTGCATGTGTTGGTTATCAGTTTTTGTCATCTTTTGGCTACTATAAGCTTCATTTTTCGAGTATTACAATTGTTTGCATTCTTTTTCTATTTTTTTTTTCAGCTGTTGATTTCTTCAATCAGGTGAATCTGCTTTATGGCACCCTTACTGAGTTTTGTACACCCGAAAACTGCCCAACAATGACTGCTGGCCCTAAGTATGGTTTGATTTTCACTAATTATTTTTTATTAGTTTATCTGTTGGGAGCGACACAATTTCTCACGAAACAAGCATGAAAGAAATTGATACTTTAAATAGATTACAGTTCTTTGTTACTAAAATTGTAACTGAATCAAAACAGTTCAACTCTTTTGTCCCAAGATCTATGAGTAGTGGTTTTTTTTGTCCAAAAGCTATTTTTAACGTAGCTTTGCTCCTGAGTTTGGATGTTGGCATATGCAATTATTGCAAAAAATAGAAATAAAAATAAAAATATAAAATGATTTTCCTTATCTGATGGAATGGTTGTAGGTATGAGTACAGATGGGCAGACGGTGTACAAATCAAGAAACCAATCGAAGTTTCAGCTCCTAAATATGTCGAGTATTTGATGGACTGGATCGAAACCCAGTTAGATGACGAATCTATATTTCCTCAAAAACTAGGTAACAAGATTTATTTCATTCATTCATTTTTATTTCATTTTATTTTATTTGCTTTTTAAGTTTAGCTACAATTTCTATATGGCAACATAATAATCCTGAGAGAAACACACACACACACACACACACACACACAAAAAAAAAAAAAATATCTACAGGGGCTCCTTTTCCTTCGAATTTCCGGGAGGTCGTGAAGACCATTTTCAAACGTCTGTTCCGTGTTTACGCGCATATATACCACTCTCATTTTCAGAAGATTGTGAGTCTAAAGGAGGAGGCCCACTTAAACACCTGCTTCAAGCATTTTATTCTGTTTACCTGCGTAAGCTCTCGATTTTTCCTGAATTCGTTTTGTTTAATAATCGAGGTCAATAGCTCATAGACCCCATGACCTTTTTCCTCAGACGTTAATATTTTGTAACTATCATCGTGTAAAACTAAGAGAAACTAAAAATGTATTGGATTGTTTTGTTATTTATTTAACATGTATGATTTCTTATGCAGGAATTTTTGCTCATCGACAAGAAGGAACTCGCTCCACTTCAAGAACTCATAGAATCCATTGTCCCTTACTGAAGAACGCTTTTACGCTAGTCGAATTATCTGGAACCTGACTATTTAGAGAGATGCATAATTATCCTAATATTCTGAATATAATAACTTTGTTGATCTGTCTGTAAATCGTGTTCCTGGGTTTCTCTCCATTCTTGAACCTTTGATTTTTGTGTTATAAAACATTCTTTAAAGACAGAAATATATTGGGAAATGATAAATCGATGCAGCGAGTTAATTTTTTATTTTTTTTTAATTTTTTATTTTTTCATAATTTTAGGTTGAATGATAATAATAGGAAATGTAGCTTCACAATTCTTGTGAAAAAGATTACACAGGAATGTGACCAAAAAAAAATATATATATATAAAAATAAAGAATTTGCAGTATATGTAGACAACAGAGCCATTCAACAAATGTAGTTATAGATAAACTTTTTTCTAGACCTGTCAAAATATCCCAGCAGACCAAAACTTCAAAAGAGTTGGAGGAAAAATTATATATATATAAAAACAATACAATTGTCGAACTGTTCTCATCTACCACTGGAATGCCCAAATTTACGCTCGGCATACACATAAGCCCCAGATAAACCTCCAAGAACACAAAAAACCTGAACAAACAATTGAAAATTTGCAAGCATTTCTCCACGAACTTCATGTCCAATCGAACGACAGCTGACCGTGTTCTCCTTGAGCCGACAGCCTTCAGGCATCATCGACCCATACAGAGTGAATGCTGTCTGATAAAACCAAAGGCCTTGTAAAGTGATGCCAATGCCACTGCATGTATCGGCTATGAAGCTAGTCGGCAAAATCGCCCCAGCTATAGTGGATATTATGCAGATGGATATAAGGAGCACAAGGACCAAATGGTAATATCCCTCGAGGCCCTTGTGGGTGGTCGAGTGGAAATAGAACAATAGGTACTCGGCTGTGAATGCTGCAGAGGCTATGAAGCATAGAGCTCCTTCTGGCAATGGAATAAAGCTACAAAACAAGAAAAATATATATAAAAATAAATTGTGTTATACAATAGAAAACAGAGACAAGGAGGGTTAATGGTAATTTGAAAGATAACTGGGGTTCTTTGATAATTATCCAAAATGAATAAGAAACAATGAAATTTGCACAGAACTCGGCAAATGTTAAAAAAAAAAATGTCAGCTACAATGCACATCGAATGTTAGTATCACAGGTACTTCTATTTCATGCACAATAGGCCACCAGAAAAAAACAACAATCGAGTGAATTTTGAAACAAAGTGCTTTTGAGATGATTATTTATACTGCTTAGTTTAATTTTGGTAAATGGCCCTTTTGGCAGTTAAATAATCGGTATTTAAAGGTGGCTTATATATCTATTTTGTTTACCAAGCTCTCTCATGATTTCAGCTCAGACAGTTCAATCAATATAGTGATGTGATAATATGTGGCTTACTCAATTTCGAAATATGTTACTAATGTTGAAACCAAATGCATGATCATTTTCTACATGTTCTTCAGATTCAGAGGTTTTTCAATTACAATGGAAGCTGAAAATTCCTAAAAATATCAGTCACAATTGCAGCAAACAGAAGAATAATTTGTCACAAAAATAAATTCCTATACATTAAAATCATGACCGAAAAATCGCATATTTAGCTATCGCCTCTACATGTAGAAGTAGAATCATATTCTAACTAAACCAAAATTAATATGACAAGATGCAATTATATCATCCTCTGCTAAGTTAAAGAAATCAACTATTTTTCCAGAAAACGAACCTCGTTTTTTCAGAAAGAAGAGCCACTACGCCGAAGAGGAAGAACATGAGAAGCATGCCCGAATGCTCAAAATCGTTCATATGTGACGGGTTGAGTACACCATGAACAAAAATCTTGAGATGAGTTGAGTACAAAAACTCTATGCACATATCAATGAAAGCACCAACTGCAATCACATAAAGCTCCAAATACTTGAGCCTACCACCAAATCCATGAACCGGGTTCCAAACCCTGACGCGGAAAGAATTCGGGTCCGAAGCATATCTTACCACAGAGCACCACATGTGCCACAAACCAATGACTAGAAACAAAGTCCCGGGAAGAAGATGCCCAAGAAAAGAACCCATTTTTTTTTTTTTTACAAATGTAACTTGACCAAGATGCCACTTTCTTTTGGGCTATTTTACATAAGCCTGTCTATTTCTTACACGGCTTGTGAACCTGAAATCGACTAAACTGCAAGCACCCTAAATAGACAGAGCAAGATTTGCCTTTTTTCTCAGATCACTGTTCCATTAAAGTAATTGCAAATCGCAATCTTATCAAGCAAGAGCCTTATGGGAATCAGTTCATCATATCTTGACAAGAAGAACACAGAGAGCCACAAATCTCACTTTGCTTTGGAAACCCTCAAGACAAAATCTCAATAACCAAAATCACAACCAAAATGAAATCAGCTCAGGAGCTGAGCTCTGCTTTAAATCGGCCTTTTGCACCACCTGCCCAAGAATATATTATTTTTTGCATCAAAATTCTTGTTCAACAAAGAGTTTTCTTGACCAGTGACCGCAAACAGTAATTCAAAGCCTCATGCAAAATAACAATTAAATGCACCCAAAAGAAAAAAATAAAAAGTCAAAATTGTTATCTGCAAATACGAAATAACAACACACGCAAAAAACAAGGTCAAGATATGTGACTTTGTAGAACTCCATCAAACAGTTCATTGTTCAAATCCCAGAAAACCCACCAAAATAGATCTACCTTCCTTTCATTCAGAGCTGAAATTATTGCCCAAAATCTCTAAAAACCGAAACTAATTTAAAGAAAGTGTGGAAATATTGTCAAGATATAAGAAAAAAAAAATGAATCTTTTCAATTATCTGAGTTCTTCAAGCAACAATTTTTTTTGCATTTTCAGTGGATAACAACATACCGTTCAGTGGGCTTCTGATTCTTCTCGTGAGCAAAGCTTGAGATGGCAACTGCCCCTTTTAGATGGGAAAAAAGTAAGAAAAAAGAAAAAGAAGAAAATGAAAGAAAGAGATGAATTTAATAGTGGGTGTGTGTGTGTGTCGATGGGATCAATAGAAAGTTCAGTTGGGTCAAATCAGACGGCAATTATATAGACATCATTGAATGAAAATATTATATAGTTAGTAGCTCTTGGTTTTATAAATAATAATAATAATATAAAAAAAAAATCTTATTTTGACATTGTGGGTTTTAGCCTTTAGGCCTTTTTTTTTTTTTTTTTTTGTATCATCGCAAATGTTATAGTCCTGTTACGGAACTATTTCGTTGGAACTTATAACTGTTTGAATATTATGTAACAGTCGTGAATAGATGATCTAACGGTTCTAAACCCCGACGAAATACTACCGTAATGGGAAGGTAGAATTTTTTTTTTATTATTATTGTTACTTTTTTTTTAAACGAAAAAAAATAGTTTGTTGCATGGATTGATTCATCTTGAAATCAGGACATGCAAATGGAATGATCTGTATAAGATTGATCTTTATTAAAGAGTGGACAATATAATAACTCATCATAGCATTGAAAAGAGTTAAAATCTATCATTCATGTAACTTGATTTACAAAAGTAAAGTTTTCTAGAATAAGTTATATAGGGTAACCAATTACTCTACCGTGTACCCTGACACACCTAGCTAATTGTGGCATGACACATTTGCATGCGTCCTTCACTCCCCAAAATTAGAGAAATTAAGAGAGTGTAGTGCACATCCCCAATTTTCTTTTTTAATTGAAAAATGAGACATATTACATAAATTAAAATACCATTAGTTATTTATTTAAAAAAAATAAAATAAAAATATCAGAATTCATAATTTTCATTATCTATAAATAGAGACCACATTTGATAGGTTTTTTAACACAACTAATTTTTTGTTTTATAATATGTTCGCCTTATTGTGTATGTAACATGTTCATCTTATTCTATAACATGTTCAATTTATTATGTAACATGTTCATCTTATTTTATAACATGTTCATCTAAATTTCATCTGTGAAAATGTAACATTTTCATCTTATTAGAGAGGATTTTGGTTTGTGAAGGTGAAGGATATTCGATCGAAATACTAATTTATGGAATTTCTTTTACATTCTACTAGTTTTTCACTTTCATTCCCTATAGTATGACTATTGCATAAATTTGAGTTCTTAACTGTAGATTATGGTTTATTATTACAGGGCGGAGATGTTTGCATTAAACGAGTGAAAGTCGAGCAAGAAATTGACCAGAATTTTGTGTATGAAGTGGAAATGGGAGAAAATAATGTGAGAGCCCCTGATGTAGATATGGAATCTAAACATATTCATTTTATTCTATAACATGTTCATTTTATTATGTAACATATTCATCTTATTCTATAACATATTCATTTTATTATGTAACATGTTCATCTTATTTTAGAACATGTTCATCTTATTATATAACATGTTCATTTTATTATGTAACATGTTCATCTTATTCTATAACATGTTCATTTTATTTATGTAACATGTTCACCTTATTGTGCATGTAACATGTTCATCTTATTCTATAACATGTTCATTATATTATGTAACATGTTCATCTTATTCTATAACATGTTATTTTATTATGTAACACGTTCATCTTACTTTAGAACATGTTCATCTAAATTTAATTTGTGAAAATGTAACATTTTCATCTTATTCTATGACATGTTCGTCTTACTCTATAACATGTTCATTTTACTATGTAACATATTCATCTAATTATAAATTTGCGTGATAATTTTCTAATAAGATAAATTAATTGTAAAAAAATAATAAATTAATTGTGTTCCAAAAAATATCAAATGTGGTCTCTATTTGTAGAGAATGAAAAATTATAAATTTTGGTATTTTTATTTTTATTTTTTGATACAAAATATGAATGATAATTGAATTTATATAATATGATAAATAAAATTCATTACCCAATAAAAATGGGACACATGTCCCCAAAAAAAAAAAACACTTACCTCCTTACCTTTCTCACGCGCCTGTAGAATAGATGTATTTCACATAAGGCCCTGGCACACCTTGCTAGGTGTGCCAGGGCACACCTAAGTATTTGTGATTCAACAAAGCCACAGTAGGCACAGCTTGGCATTTTTGTCGGCAAAAGTGATAGTATGTGCTACAGAGCCTGCTGCTTTGTACCAAATCACACCAAAAAAATTGAAGATAAAAGGGATTGATACAAATATATTGCTGATAGGTTTGGAATGCATTTTTTTTATCCTTCACGAAACAAAAACATAGGCCCTACACATCCAGAAAAGTTCGTTACAATAAAATAATTAAAATTGATTTGACATAAAAATAGAAGAGAAACAAAAACATAGGCCCTACAAATCCGAAAAATTTCATTACAATAAAAT